GTGTGCTCCTGGGCCTCATGCTTTTCTCATTGTGCTTCGAGTGGATAAATTCACAGAGCACGAGCAGGCTGTCGTCACTAAGATAGTTCAGTATTTCTCAGATGAAGCTCTAAAATATGCTGTCGTTGTTTTCACTCACGGTGATCAGCTTGACAAAAATATGAAAATTGAAGATTTTGTCAGTGAGAACAAAAATCTGAGTGATCTGGTGTCAAAGTGTGGTGGTCGGTGTTACGTATTTGATAACAAACACTGGAACAACAACCAGCCAAACAACTACAGGAGCAACCAGTTCCAGCGGGAGGAGTTGCTAAAAACAATAGAAAAAATGGTGGTGGAAAAAAACGGAGGTTACTACACAAATAAAATGCTGCAACATTTGGAGATGGCAATTCAGAAACAGGTAGAGCACATTAGACACTCAATGCCAGACAAGACTGCAGAAGAGATCAGAAACCATGCTAAAACTGATGTGTGCAACAGGTTTCTGATCCAACTGACAGGGATTGCAACAGGAGGTTTGCTCGGTGCTTTTTTTGGTGTAGCAGCAATGGTTGGATTAGCTGTCACAGCCATGAAAAACTTAATGTTAATGAACGCTGTAAAAAAGGCTCCAGCATTAATGGGAGTGTCGTCAGCAGCAGCAGGACAAACAGCATTAGTAGTCGCTGGAGCCACAGGTCTGGGGGCAGCAACAGCAGGAGGAGTATATGGTGGCTTGCTTGGATATGAAGCAGCTAATGATGCTAAGTCACCATCAGAAGCTGCACAGAGAACATATGAGGCTATAGTGGAGAAAGGAAAGTCTTTTATCCGGTTTAAGTGAGATTTTTTTAATAATTATTATCCAGGTAGTGGAAGGGAAAAAAGTATCTTATTATTTCTTGATGTCTTTACACTACACATATTAGTACTACATACATCGAAGAAAACATTTTAATTATCTGGAGTCAGGTTTGTTGGCAATTAGCTGAAAAGATGAGAAACCAGGCTAAAACTGATGTGATGTGAATGATCTAAATGACAGGGACTGAAACTAGGCCTTTGCTAGGGTTTTTTTGTGAAGAACCCAGAACCGGTGAATGTTTCAACAAAGCGTTTCACATCAGCACATGTGCCAGCTGCAGAAGATCAAACAACACTAGTAGCTGGAGCAGTAGGCTTGGTGGGAGCAGCAGCAGCAGCAGGAGGAGGTGTAATGGGAGGTGTTTGGAAATGAAGCCGCTAAGGATGCA